TGATTATGTTCTTGTTTTAAACACTCAAATCATACAGACATAAATCCAAGGTTTCAATTCCCCTCTTAACCACCTTCGCCTGGGAACAGCATCTGGAACAGCTCCTGCAATGTACAAATGACCTTGTTTATGAGCCACAGCACCACTTCCAGCTTTTTCTGAGTAGTTTATTGGAGATAAGAGTCTCATGGACTTTCCTGCCCAGGCTGGCTTCAAACCACCATCCTCAGATCTCAGCCTCCTGAGTAGCTAGCATTACAGGCATGCGCACTACTGGTGCACAGCCACATTTTTAAAGTTTTGTTTTGTTTGGTGCCAGTACTGAGGCTAAAACTGGGTTTGAATGATGTACATTAGTTGTTTCCCCTGCCTCCCACCCCCACCCCAAGGCTAGCACTTTACCATTTGAGCCACAAGCTCCACTTCTGACTTATTTTTAGTGCTGATCTGGTGCCTGGAACTCAGAGCCCGGGTGGTCCCTGAGCTTATGTCCTCAAGGCCAGTAACATGTGAGCAATACCTCTACCTCTGGCTTTTTGCTGGCTAATTGGAGATAAGAATCTCATGAACCTTCCTGCCCCAGATTTGGGGATCTCAGCCTCCCAAGTAGTATTACAGGTGTGAGCAATTGATGCCTAGATACAGAGTTGATTTTCACTCACAGGTGGTGGGCTGGAGTTGTAGATGAAGTAACCTTCCCTGACCTATGTGTGTGAATGTATGTGCGTGTACACATGCATACATCCTCATACTGACTGGGAACGCCTTCTGCCTGTGTTTTGCTCCTTTGGTCTCTTTCTTCCCATCATGACATTATCTGCCCTTTTCATACCCTCAGACTTCCCCTTTTCATTGGAGATTTTTTTGTGCCATCGGCATCCAGGAGGTAATACATGATTCTAAAGGCTGAAATGGCCACACTGGAATTGTTGTTTGTTGGTTGTGGGGCTTGAACTCGGTTTGGGCACTGTCCCTCAGCTCTTCAGCTCAAGGTGAGAGCTCTACCGCTTGAGCCACAGCGCCACTTCCGGTTTTCTAGTGGTTTATTGGAGATAAGTCTCATAGCCTTTCCTGCTTGGGCTGGCTTTGAACTGTGACCCTCAGATCTCAGCCTCCTGAGTAGCTAGGATTACAGGAATGAGCCACCAGCACCCGGCTCACACTGGAATTTTGAAACAGAAGAGTGGATTCCTAGTGTCTGTATCCAACCATGGAAATGTGTAAAACACCAGGGGTAAATGAACAGTTTTTACTCCTAATGTAAACATCTGTTGCTATGTATCACTTTTTTTTATGTCCACCCTGGGGCTTGAACATAGGGTCTAAGCACTGTCTCTGAACTTTTTTTGGCTCAAGGTTAGTCCTCTTATCACTTGAACCACAGCTCCACTTCCTGCGTTTTGGTGTTCATTTGGAGATGAGTGTCATGGACTTTTCTCTTCAGGCTTGATTTGAATGCGATCCTCAGATCTCAGCTTCCTGTGTAGCCAGAATGACAGGCATGAGCCACCAGTGCACAGCTGAAACTTAGTGGAAGGTATCTAAAACGTATGTGGACAATCTTATTCCTGTGAGGCCATAGGGGTGGGCAGGACTGGTTATGAGTTGAAGGATGGTGGGACCAGACTGGTATGGGCTGCACCTACTTGCACTGTTTTGGAGCATCAGCAAGATTATCTTGATCGTTTGTAAAAGCTGTAATTGCTATAATTAAGGCTTATTTACATAATAAACCGAATTATGAAAATGTTTTTCATGGTTCCCAGCCCCAGAGAGCTGGGAACGTGGCTTAGCGGTAGGTAGAGTGCTCGTCCAGCAAGCTTGAAGTCATGAGTTTGATTCCTCAGTACCATGTAAACAGAAAAGGCTGGAAGTGGCACAGTGGCTCAAGTGGCAGAGCACTAGCCTTGAGCACAGAGAGGCTCTCGGACAGTGCCCAGGCCCTGAGTTCAAGCCCCAGGACTGGCAAAAGAAAAAAAAGAAGAGGAAAGAAAAAGCCCACAGGTAAATTAAATTTGCCATGTCTAAAGTCTAAAATACTTTCAGCTTATGAAATTTTTTTTTCAAGTTTGTGAAAAAATGTAGCTCATCTTTTTTTAGTCCCAGGGTTTGAACTCAGGGACTTACACCTGCTCAGAATGTTGCTCTTTTGCCACTTGAATTGATTGTACCTCCAGCTCTTTTGCTGGTTATTTTGGAGATGGATGTCTTTTCTACCCAGGCTGACCTCAAACTGATTCTCTGGATCCGTTTCCTGAGGAGCTAGAATTACAGGCATGAGCTAGCAGTACCCAGGAACTTTTATTATAAAACCAATTGCTACTAAGTTACTTCCCATCATTCACTTAATGTTTAGAAACTTCCAACTGTCTTGAAGTATTTATATCCCAAACTCATTGAAGTGAGTTTTGTGATATATTAGGTATCCAGGCCAGGTCAGCCCCAGTGACTCATGCCTGTAATCCTACTCAGAAGGCTGAAATCTGAGGATAGTTCAAAGCCAGCCTGAAGCAAAGGTCTGAGATTCTTACCTTCAATTAACTACCAAAAAACTAAAAGTTGTGGTGTGGTTTCAAGTGGTAGAGTACCAGACTTGTGTGAAAAAGCTAAGGGACACTACCTAGGCTAAATTCAAGCCCTAGTACCAGCATAATAAAGACAAAAATGTATCCTTAGCTCTGTGGAACCGAGGATTTTGATAAACTGAATCCTCAGTTCTACCTGTAAGGATTTAGACTACTCATGCTTTTTTCAACTGGGAAAAAGACCAAGAGCTGAGATTATGAAATCTCTATGCACACAATGCTCTACAGTACGTTCACAGCATATTGACACCAATTTTTTTTTTGGGGGGGGTCCGGTCGTGGGGCCTGAACTCTGGTCTGGGCACTGTCCCTCAGCTCTTTTCTTTTTTTCTTTTTTGGCTTATGTGGTGCTGAGGAATCGAACCCAGGGCCTCAGGCATGCAAGGCAAGCGCTCTACCACTGAGCCACCTCCCCAGCCCGTCCCTCAGCTCTTCAGCTTAAGGCTAGTGCTCTACCACTTGAGCCACAGCGCCACTTCCGGCTTTTTTCTTTTTGCTCATGTGGTGCTGAGGAATCGAACCCAGGGCCTCAGGCATGCAAGGCAAGCGCTATACCACCGAGCCACCTTCCCAGCCCTTGACACCAATTTTTATAATTAGACAAAAAAAAGTATCTGAGGCAGTTGTATCTTGGAATAGCTATTTAAAGTAACTGCCCAAGTAAGTGGATGAAGGGTTTTCAGCTTGTTGGCATTTCCTATGTTCTTTCCCAGAATGAATTTTTTTTTTTTTTTTTTGTCAGTTGTGGGGCTTGAACTCTGGGCCTGGTCACTATCCCTCAGCTCTTTTTTGGTCAGTCGTGGGGCTTGAACTCTGGGCTTGGGCGCTGTCCCTGCGCTCTTCAGCTCAAGGCGAGCTCTCTAGCCACAGCACCACTTTTGGTTTTCTGAGTGGTTTATTGGAGATATGAGTCTCACAGACTTTCCTGCCCATGCTGGCTTTGAACTGGGATCCTCAGATCTCAGCCTACTGAGTAGCTAGGAATATAGGCGTGAACCACTGACGCCCGGCTATAAATTGCTTCTGTACTATTACCACACTCACTTCTGTATGCATCTGCCATTCTCACAGGATAAAAGACCTGCATATAGAGAGCTCCCAGACACTGCTACAACAGACCAACTGTCCAGGTCACCCGCCGGGCTGGCCTGTGCCTTTAGCCTGTTTCTGAACTCCAGTATGGTACTTCCCGTTTGTGAACTTGTACTTTCAGGATGTTTTCATTGATATGCCCTGCCAACTGTTCTTCACCTCACATTTACACACCGTTAGCAGTTTAAAGGCAAGTATTTTTCTCAAGTACGGGGCCTGGAAAATATTCAGGAAAATTTGGTCTATTTTTTAAAGAAAAACTTGGGAACAACAACAAACCTTGGGAGGCTGAGACAGGACGAGTTTCAGGCCAGCCTGGGATACACAGCAAGACCATATGAAAGTACTCAACAGAATACTCCCTTCTGATCAGTGAAAATCAAACAAAGGGCTCATTGTACCTTAAAAAAAATAGCTCTCTCTGGAAGTGGTGCTGTGGCTCAAGTGGTAGAGCGATGGCTTTATGCTGAATAGCGCAAGGACAGCACTCAGGCCCAGAGTTCAAGCCCCATGACCAAAAAAAGAAAAGATAAAGAAGTGACTCTCATCTCTAATCCTAGCTCCTCAAGAGTCTGAGATCTGAGGATCACGGTTCAAAAAGCCAACCTGGAAAGCCCTTGACTCTTAGTTCCAATTAACTACCAGAAAGCTCAAAGTGGAGCTGGGGCTCGAGTGATTTGTAAAGCAGTAGCTTGATTATAAAAGCTCAGGGACAGTACCCAGACCCTGAGCTTAAATACCAATTGTCACAAAAATAAAAACAGCTGGTGTCATGGTGCATACCTAGACCCAGCACCCAGGAGCCCACCCTGGGCTCCAGAGCCCTTGTCCCAAACCAAACAAGACATCAAACATCTTCCAGTCTCATGGTAATGCTCAAGAATGACAGAACTAAAAAAACTATGTTTCTTTAATTCTAAAATTCAGAAAATCAAGCGTGGGAATTCCTTAGACTTTTATTTTTTTTTTTTTAATTTGGTCAGTCGTGGGGCTTGAACTCTGAGCTTGGGCGCTGTTCCTGCACTCTTCAGCTCAAGGTGAACGCTCTACCACTTGAGCCACAGCACCACTTACAGTTTTCTAGTGGTTTATTGGAGATAAGGGTCTCACGGACTTTCCTGCCCAGGTTGGCTTTGAACCACAATCCTCAGATCTCAGCCTCCTGGGTAGCTAGGATGACAGGCATTAAGCCAGCAGCGCCCGGCTTTCTTAAGACTTTTAGATCACATGCTCTTAAAACATTTTCAGCTAGAGGCTGGAGCACCTAGCAAGCATAAGGCCCCGAGTTCAAATCCCAGCACCACCAAAAAGGAAACAAAACCATTTTCATAACTGTGATTTTATTGGTTGTGTCAAGGATCAGTACACAGACAGTTCAATTTGTACACAATTCTTAGCACACGTACCAAAAGTCACAGGCCATGAGCTGTTTGGGAAAGTGTTCCAGTGACATTCCAGCTTCAAACCTGCAAGCACATTTTCCTTTAGAGGAAGCCAAGTACCCATATTCCAAATGTTGGTCCCGTTACCTAACTTCCACCACGTCACCACGTCACAGCGTGTGCACAACACACCCACATTCTCCATCATTCACAGCACAGCAACAATTAGGAAAACTGGACTACCACGAGCAGAGGTGTGACAGAGCACAGAGTTCTGACAGAAAAGATCAAGGAGTGGTTTTCTTCAGGAAAACAGTTCTACCAGAAAACAACAAGGAACTAGAATTTCAAATATTCAAGACATAAAATGCACAACTGCGACTCCAAAATTGCCATTTACTATGCTTTGTATTGCAGGATAGAAAACTAACCCCCCCACCTATGGAATGTTATGTTAAGCCGGCACTGAGACCGCCGAGGCCTCCCATAATACAATAGCCCACTGTTTTCTGGTTGTACCAAAAAATAAACAACCAGCAAATGATTTCACTTCTTAAAAAAAATCATTTACACTTAAAAAATGGGATGAGGTGGGATTCCCTCCTTTTTAAAAATGTTTCTAGAGCTACTAAAAAACTTGCATTTACAAAATAGTTGATAAAAATACTCCTCTGGATTGTACAAGACGGGGGTCGGGGACAGGGCCAGGAGACGGGGGATGGCCCGGGAAGACGCGTCGTGTTGGTTAGTCAGACTTGGCTTCCTGCTCTGCTTCGTCAGAGACTGCACTCTGCAGCAAATTAAAGGGAGAACAAGGATTAAACACCTGATTTGTTTCTGCTGTGCCCTGTAGCAATTGCACCATGGATATAAAACTGCTATTTCCTAAAACTACCGTTGATCTTCATGAATAGACTCTGTACTTGCAACTGTACTCATTTTTGCTAAGACTAAAAAAAAAAATGTGTGTGGGGGCAGTTATTAGAGCTTGAACTCAGGGCCTCTCAATTACTAGGCTGGTATTCTACCACCTGAACTGTTCCCACTACAGCCTTTTGCTGGTTATTTAGGAGTTGGGAGTCTCTCATTGACTTTTTTGCACAGGCTGGCCTAAACTTTAATCCTCCATATCACAGCCTCTGAATAGCTAAGAGTACAAGCATAAACCACCAACAGCAACTAGCTCCTACTCTTAAGATTCATAACCCCAATCAACAGGCAGTATTTTCTGTGCAGACAGAGCAGCAACAAGAATAGGTGTCACTGCAGGCATACACCCAGCTAAGGTTCTCTTGCCTTGCTTCCATCTTTTAGGCTGAGTGTCCACTTACTGCCATGTATTTCCTGTTTTTGTCGGTTTTGCTCTTTAGACTAGCCTCTAAGCACTGTGCCCACCTGATATTTAAGTGTCCTCAGTGAAAGGTGCCTGTAATGTATCCTCCAAAGAAAACTCATGCAATGAAGGGCTTCATACAGGGTGAGTTTGCGTACTGGGGTTGTGAGTTCAATGCAATAATGTACAGTAAGTAAGAACACATATAATGCACAGGCAGTTGAGAAGTCATGACCCCGCCCATGCAGTAGTCTAACCTACAGTGCAGTGGTGCAGACAGGCAATCTTGTAAGACGTAACTACCATGAATAAGACTAATTAACTGTAACCTGTAATACATGCCAGAAAGTCTACTTATACCCTTACAACTGGGACTTCATTAGTAATGTGATTACAAATTTCTTTTCTTTTTTGGGGGGGGTCCAGTCGTGGGGCCTGAACTCTGGGCCTGGGAGCTGTCCCTCAGCTCTTCAGCTCAAGGCTAGCGCTCTACCACTTGAGACACAGCACCACTTCCGGCTTTTTCTGCTTATGTGGTGCTGAGGAATCGAACCCTGGGCCTCAGGCATGCAAGCACTCTACCACTGAGCCACCTTCCTAGCCCGTGATTACAAATTTCTTATCTTAACCTGTACCAATGCTGGCAAGGTTCTGGGTTTTTGTTTTTGATCCCTGGCACTGTCAAAACCCCCAACCAAAATCCAGCATATTGACAGCTCTCCTTCATTCATAAAGACACTGAAATAATCCGGACACCTGTGGCTCACGCCTATAATCCTAGCTACTCAGGAGGCTGAGATCTAAGGATCATGGTTCAAAGCCAGTCTGGGCAGGTAAGTCTGTGAGACTCTGATCTCCAATAAACCCCCAAAAAACCAGAAGTGGAGCTGTGGCTCAAGCTGTAGAGCACTCCCCTTGCGCTGAAGAGCACAGGGACCAACAACAAAAAAAGTGTCTTATTTCAGTGTCTTTTTTTTCAGTTGGTCATAGGGCTTGAATTCTGGGCTTGGGCACTATCCCTGCGCTCTTCAGCTTAAGGAGAGTGCTCTACAGCTTGAGCCACAGCTCCACTTCAGGTTTTCTGAGGGTTTATTGGAGATCAGAGTCTCACAGATGTTCCTGCCCGGGCTGGCTTTGAACCATAATGCTCAGATCTCAGCCTCCTGAGTAGCTAGGATTACAGGCGTGAGCCACCAATGCCCAGCTTAAGACACCTATTTTAATAAAGAAACAGCTGTCCATTCACTTAAGTTCACTGTGCAATAGACCATCATACACAGGCGCCGTCTAGTATCCATGGCCCAGAGCGGAAACCCAGAGCTCCCCTCCCCATGCTCTTACCTCCTCATTCTTGGTCTCTCCATTTTCTGCAGGCAAATCTTCTTTAGTTTCCTGGCTGGTTACCTCAGCCTGTTTGCCCTTTGCTCCCCTTTTTCCTTTTGTTTGCACTTTCTTGTCAGAAGATTTATCCTAAAAACAGTACGAGAATATTTTAATACAAACTTGACACTTAAGACTTCAGAAGCAACAAGGGTTGTACAACAGAAGCCTTATGAACGTTGCAGTGCACACCTGTACACCAACCTGCGCTCCCCCACTTTTTACACAGAGAGCTAAGGGTCCACCCCTACGAGCGAGGATGACAGATTCATAGCAATGCTGGAACACCAAGTTCTTAGCTGTGATTAAACCCAAGGTGGAAAAACCCTCCTAACACACCATCACTTGCCAGCCTCCACCCAGCATATACTAAAACATATACAAAGTTGCTACCAGGCACCAATGGGTCACACCTATATTCCTACTCTGGAAGCTGAGATCTGAGGACTAAGGCTCAAAGCCCACCCGCAGGTGGATTTATGAGCCTCTTGTTTCCAGTTAACAAGCCAAAAACCTGGAAGTGGATGTGTGGCTCAGTACTAGCACCAAAAAAATTAGAGTGAAATAAAAATCTCAAGGAAGTGGCACTGTGGTTCAAGAGGTAGAGTGCTCACTTTGAGCTGAAGAGCGCAGGAACAGAGCCCAGGCCCAGAGTTCAAGCCCCACGACCAACAAAAGAAAACAAAAACAAAAAAACAATAATCAGCAAAAAAAAAAATCCCAAGTTGGAAGAGAATCTTCTCAACCCTACCCCACCAGCCCCAAAATTCTTTTTAAGCATCAACAACAATCCAAATGTGAAGTAGCCATTGTCCCAACTGAATACTAAGACAGTCATCTATCCATTCCGCTATACAAACCCCTTGTGCTTGACAGCTCACCAAGTGGCTAAAAGCACTAGCTTTGAGTTTATCATTTTCAGGGAGGTGTTTTAAAGAATCTGAAAAGTACAGGTATTAGAAAAAAAAAGAACTAGCCGGGCGCTGGTGGCTCACGCCTGTAATCCTAGCTACTTAGGAGGCTGAGATCTGAGGATCTCGGTTCAAAGCCAGCCCGGGCAGGAGAGACTGTGAGACTCCTATCTCCAATAAACCACCAGGAAACCGGAAGTGGCACTGTAGCTCAAGTGGTAGAGCACTCGCCTTGAGCTGAAGAGCTGAGGGACAGCGCCCAGGCCCAGAGTTCAAGCCCCATGACCGGCAAAAAAAAAAAAAAAAAAAAAAAGGGAACTGTTATAAATACAAAATTTAAGCCATTTGAAAGTAATACAGGAGAATTCATAAAATCAAGGTGATTTGATCCAAGTACATTGTATGTATATAAATATCACAATGAAACGTGTACAACTAAGTTAGAGAACTAAAAGAACATAAAGCACCCATCCACGGAGAAGAATTTTAACAAAAACGAAAACAAAATGAATCCTTAGAAGACTACAGAACAGCTAATTAAGTTAGAAGTCATCAGAAAGGTGTACAGAAATAATCCCTGAAAGCGCCGAGTTACCTTGGTTATTAAAAAGTCAAGAGTCAGAATGTAGCCAAGAATTCATTGTATTTACCACAAAATTAAAAAAAGGGAAGGGATGGGTGGAAAGTGGATGAGAATATTGAAGGGCTTGACACTGATCAAGATGCACTGTATCTGTAGACTGCTTTGTTAAGTGACACCTCCTTTGTACAGCTAAAAAAAAAAAATTTAGAAAGAAAATCCTTTATTTTGTAAGTCAAGCTGCAAATGCCTCGGAAAGAGACAATGAACAAAAATTATAAAAGACTTGGTCAGGCTGAGCTCCTGACCTTTTCTGGGATGTTATTAAATTAAGCCAAGCAAAAAACAAAAATTAAATCTATTGGAAAAAAGACAAAGGCTGCTTGTGTTGGTGGCTCATGCCTGTAAGGATCCAGGGCAGTAAAGCCTCAAGACTCCGTCTCCAAAATGCTGGGATGGAAGCATGGGTCAGCTGTGCCCTGTGCCCAGGAGAGGTCCTCAACCCATGCCCTTGTACTGTCTCCTCCCCCAAAAGGCCTTTGCATGTAGACATACACTACTAATCCAATGAATCTTAGTATAAATAAATTATATCTGGGACCCTGCTACCCATTGCTACCAGAAGTGTCAAGCTGTTCCTGAATTTATAAACCATACCTTTGAGATCTGATTTCTTTAGGTGTCTCATTAATTTCCTAACTAATATCTCAGTAATAAAGTGTTAAACCTTCAGCCACCAAGGAAACATACAGTAATAGCTGTGGCCCCAATGGCTACAGGGTTGGGAGAAGGAGGCCAGACCCTCACACAAAGGGAAGCAGAGAAAACCATATTCAACCAATACATGCCAATAAAAAGTGGAAAAATAGTTGAAGTTCACACTTAAGTGTGAAGATGTGATTAACACTAAATGTGAAGAGTGAAAGGGAAAGTCCCATTTTTTCCTCAAATTTACAGGGTTCCTGAAAAAATAAAATAAACTTTCCTACTGCTCTCTCACTTCTGCCTCAAACACCAATGGGTAAAAAGCTGAATGTTCTCAAACTATTTTAGGAGCAGATCAAGGTTATAACACTTAAAACTCCAGGCCTTGGGCTGGGGGTTTAGCCCAGCGGAAGGGCACCCACCTAGCACGCGCAAGGCCCTGGGTTCAGTCCTCAGCCCTGGCAAAAAAAAAAACAAATCTCCAGGCCTTCAGAAGTAAAGGCAGGAGAATTGGGAACTGGAAGCCATTCTGGGATACATGTAGACCCAGACACTGTTTTCAAAAAGATACAAGGGGCTGGGAAGGTGGCTCAGTGGTAGAGTGCTTGCCTAGCATGCATGAGGCCCTGGGTTCAATTCCTCAGCACCACATAAACAGAAAAAGCCGGAAGTGGCGCTGTGGCTCAAGTGATAGAGCACTAGCCTTGAGCTGAAGAGCTGAGGGACAGTGCCCAGGCCCAGAGTTTAAGCCCCATGACCGACCAAAAAAAAAAAAAGATGCAAAGTGCAAGAGCATAATAGGAAATAAGCAGTAATTTAACCAACTGGTTTACATGAAGAGACAAAGGACCAAAAAAGAGGGGCAGTAGAATATGGTGCTCAGGTCAAGGTTTTATAGACAATTTGCTACTTTTCTCCCCCAAGGCCTTCACAAAAAAATTCCAGTAGCACTCTGTATACCATTTGGTATACAACTCTGTATACTACTTAGCTGGGCACTGATGGCTCACGCTTGTAATCCTAGCTACTCAGGAAGTGGAATTCTAAGGATCATGGTACAAAGCCCCACCAGGTAAGAAAGTCTGAGACTCATATCCAATTAATAACCTCCCCCAAACTGGAAGTGGAGCTGTGGCTCAAAGTGGCAGAGGGCTAGGCTTCAGCAAAGGAGTTCAAGGACAGTAACCAGGCCTTGAGTTTAAGACCCAGAACTTAAAAACAAAACAAAAAAAAACACACCCAAACAAGCAAAAAACCTACTTGTCTTTAAGCATAAGAACGTGTAAGGTGATGCTTGATACTCCCTTGACTGGGTACTGCAACTCACTCAGTCTTGTATTTTGCCAAGGCTGACCCGAACTCCTGCCTAGCTCTACTGCTGAGTATCTGGATTACAGAGGTGTCACCATGCCCCACCCCCTTTACCTTAAAAAGAAAAATCACAAATGCAGAACTTTGTTCAACTGTTAAGATTTTTGCACTCTGCTCTGTACAATGTTTAAGTGAAACCTTTTATACCCTTATTTAGTGAGTAAAAATGGAAGCATTATCCAAGATTTCACCCTCTACTTCGGTAACTGCTGTTAGGACTTTTTTCTTTCCTACAAATTGCAATTCTACCTTGTCAAGTTTGAGTGGAATTAATCACTTAGGAAAATACATAGAAAGCTTTGCAGTGTACAGGTATAAAAAGCTTGTTCATAATTCATGCATGTATATTTTTTCCTATTATCATGCATGCATATATACTTAAAGGCAACTTTCTAAATACCTGTAAACTGATAAATAAGCATTTATAAATCTGTGTAACCATAATCCCGTTTACTACAATTCAGTTTGGGGATTTCCTTGGTTGGTTGGTCGTGGTGCCTGTACTGGCCTTCAGCTTGGTCTCAGGCTCTTGCTTGGCTTTTCCACTCAAGGCTGGCACTCCCCCACTTCCAAATCTTTGCTGGTTAACTGAAGATGAGTCTCTTGGATTGTCTGCTTTGGCTGGCTTCAAAGTGAGATCCTCAGATTTCAGGTGTGACACACCAGCACTTGGCTTACTTAACTCAAAAGATCTTTTACACACAACTACACAACTGCACTTCAGGTAACTCTGACAATAAGCCCTTTAGTTCTCAGGGGACAAAACTTTCGATCTGCCCCCCACCCCCTCCCTTTCAGGTAGAAAGGCAAGACCTCCAATTCTAGATCAGGTATTGCATGCATATAAAAAGCAAAACCAAAAACCAAAAGCCCGTTCTTCTAGCTTTATTCCTAGCTTGGGTGTAGTTAAAAATGGAGGTACTAGGATTCAAGGAACGGACAAGCACCCGTCAGAAGCGACACATCACAACACAGATTCACTTGCAACCCGAGGCCCTCAGGCCTCACTGTCACCATCCCCGGCAGCGCAGGGCGCGGCTCCTCCCGTCCTGGCTACCTGGGGACGGCTGGACCGATCGGCGCGTCCTCCGGCGCCCCGGAGAGGCTCGGGTAGCGACGGGAGGCGGCACCGCGCGGAGCCCGCGGCCTGCAGGGGAGACCTACCTTTCCCGCGGGCTTTTTGGGCTTGGGTTCCACCTTGGCGGGAGCGGGCTTCTGAAAGGCAAAAAGAGGGGCGGCGGCTTAGGGGGGCGGAGCGGGGCCGGGCGCGGGGTCCCGGGGGCGCGGGCGCCGTACTCACCGCCGACAGCCGGGCCGACCTCCGCTTGGGCTGGAGAGAGAAAAGCCATCAGTCAGCGCGTGCGCACGGCACGCACCCACCCCCCGCGGGAGGCACCGGCTCACCTCGTCCTTCGCCGCCCCTTCGGCCGAGCTGACCTGCGGGAGAAGCAGGGGGCGAGTGGGGAGGGGGGGCCGCCCGCCCCGGGGACCCCGGGCCGCCCGCGCTCCCCGCCCCCGAGAACAATGCCCGCCGCGTGACGTCAGCGTGCCCGCCGCAGGCGCCGCGCGCACCCCACCGCGCGACCCGAGCCCCGCCGATCCCGCGCCCGGGGCCCCGAGGAGGGCGCAGGGCGCCGCCCGCGCCGAGGCCCGAGCGCGCTCCGCACCGCCCCCCCACCCCGGGCCGCGCGGAGGCCGCCCGGGCGCCGGGGCCCACGCGGGGACGGGCGCGAGGGCCCGGGCCCCGCCGCCCGGCTCACCTTCCTCTTGGGCATCGTGGCGGCGCGGGGGGGATGCGGGGCGCGTGCGTTCGCTGCGGGCCGGAGCGCGCGAGAACCTTCCCAGACCTACGCCGCCGGGGCCGCCGCTCGTCCCGCCGCCCGAGCTGCTGGGGACCCGCGGCGGGGGCGGTGGGAGAACCGGATGGAACCGGATTGGAGCCCGCCCCCTCCTCCCCCCGCGCCCCCGCCGGGCGGGCCGCCCCCCGCCCCCATTGGCTGCGGGCCCCACCGCGCCGGCGCGCACCTCCCCCCGCGCCCCGAATAGGTGAGGCGGGCAGTCACTCGACCCCGCGCCCCGCCCCGCGCCCCCGCCCCGCGCCCCGCGGGCCCCAGACCCGGCCTGGGGGCGGGGCCTCCGCCGGTCCTTTGGAGCCCGGCTGCGAAGTGCGGTCTGCACGCCGATTGGCGCGGGCGCGTCACGTGATGCCGCTGTTTCCCGCCTCCCTCTCCCCCAGCCGCTCCGAACACCTGGCTGCCCGTAAGCCCTGGCGTCCGCGGGCTCCAGGCCTCCTCTCCCGGGCCTTTTACGTTTGAACTTAGGAAGGTGGTGTCGCAGACTGGAAGGGAGACGAACAGTGGGCACGCGGCGTGCAAATTCCTCCGTGTCGGGAGAAAGAAGCCCTTCAGGCCTGCGAAAGGCGGGGCCTTCGTGCGCAGGCGCGACCGGAGGGCTCGTGGGAAGGGAAGCGGCGGGGTGCTGCTGCGCATGCGCGGCGGGTCCACGCGCCGTTTCTCACGTTCTCACTGCGGCCATCTGCCCGCTCTCGGTCGCTTTGCTGCTGGCGCGCCCGGGGGTCTGCGGCCGCCGGGGGGCGGGCCTCCCGGTGCCCCCTGCCTGCCCCGCGCCACCCTCTGCAGGCGGCTCCGCCCGCGGCGTGGCAGTCTGTCCGGGAAGACGCCGTCGCGCGCCCTTTATCCTCAGTGTCGGCGGTCCGAGCGCGGTGCTCGGTCGGCCGAGGACAGGGTCGCCCCGCCCGCGCCCGCAGCCTCCCCGCCCGGCTGGGCAGCACCGTTGGGTCGGAGGAGGCCTGGCGCGGGGATCCTAGCTGGAGGCGCGCCGACGGTGAAATGGCGCGCTGTTCGCTTCTCCCGCTCATTGTTTTCCTTCCTCAGTATTCAGCCTAGAGTGGCTTCGGACTTGTGACACACCTGCCCGCCTCCCGCGTGCGGCGGGCCTGGCGGACACGCATCCCCGTGCCTCCTCCCCTCAGCCCCTCCCCCCACGCATCCCCGTGCCTCCTCATCCCCCTCCCCGGACACGCATCCCGCATCCCCGTGCCTCCCTCCCCTCAGCCCCTCCCCGCACACGCATCCCCGTGCCTCCCTCCCCTCATCCCCCTCCCCCCCACGCATCCCCGTGCCTCCCTCCCCTCAGCCCCCTCCCCGCACACGCATCCCCGTGCCTCCCTCCCCTCAGCCCCTCCCCCCACGCATCCCCGTGCCTCCTCATCCCCCTCCCCGGACACGCATCCCGCATCCCCGTGCCTCCCTCCCCTCAGCCCCCTCCCCGCACACGCATCCCCGTGCCTCCCTCCCCTCAGCCCCTCCCCCCACGCATCCCCGTGCCTCCTCATCCCCCTCCCCGGACACGCATCCCGCATCCCCGTGCCTCCCTCCCCTCAGCCCCCTCCCCGCACACGCATCCCTGTGCCTCCCTCCCCTCAGCCCCCTCCCCCCCACGCATCCCTGTGCCTCCCTCCCCTCAGCCCCCTCCCCGCACACGCATCCCCGTGCCTCCCTCCCCTCAGCCCCTCCCCCCACGCATCCCCGTGCCTCCTCATCCCCCTCCCCGGACACGCATCCCGCATCCCCGTGCCTCCCTCCCCTCAGCCCCTCCCCCCACGCATCCCCGTGCCTCCCTCCCCTCAGCCCCTCCCCCCCACGCATCCCCGTGCCGCCCTCCCCTCAGCCCCTCCCCCCCACGCATCCCCGTGCCTCCCTCCCCTCAGCCCCTCCCCGGACACGCATCCCCGTGCCTCCCTCCCCTCAGCCCCCTCCCCCCCACGCATCCCCGTGCCTCCCTCCCCTCAGCCCCTCCCCCCCACGCATCCCCGTGCCTCCCTCCCCTCAGCCCCTCCCCCCCACGCATCCCCGTGCCTCCCTCCCCTCAGCCCCCTCCCCCCCACGCATCCCCGTGCCGCCCTCCCCTCAGCCCCCTCCCCCCCACGCATCCCCGTGCCTCCCTCCCCTCTGCCCCCTCCCCGCACACGCATCCCGCATCCCTGTGCCTCCCTCCCCTCAGCCCCCTTCCCGGTACCCGGGGCCTTTGATTGGGGGAAAAAAAAAAGATTGCCAGCGTGAACTTTGGAGAAGGAAGAGACGAAGCCCTTCGGGTAAAATATTGGAAGGTGGCAGCAGGTAACACGTGACACTGTTAACCTGGGCAACTTCAAAACATCAAAACCTCCAGGAAGCAACGTTTAAATTACACCTGACCCAAAACTCATGTCTTCCATTCTCAAAAGTCATACCTGACCCGAGCACCGGTGGCTCTCGCCGGTCATCCTAGCTACTCAGGAGGCTGAGATCTCAGGATCGCAGTTCAAAGCCAGCCCAGGCAGGAAAGTCCGTCTGTGAGACTCTTACCCCCAATAAACCACCAGAAAACTGGAAGTGACACTGTGGCTCAAGTGGTAGAGCGCAAGCCTTGAGCTGAAGAGCTGAGGGACAGCACCCAGGCCCAGAGTTCAAGCCCCATGACCGACAAAAAAAAAAAAAAAGTCATACCCTGGACTAAGAAAGGTCTCAGTAACTCTCCACCCCCCAGGCACCTCACCACAGGGACTTTCCCTTTCACCACAGACCTTCTCCACCTCCTGGTCAGTCTCCGGTAGCCACTGCCTCAGGGCCCTGTCACAGACAGCTCTTCTCACCACCTGCAATGCTCCATCCCTCACAGTGCCTGGGCTCTGGGTCTTGGTGCAGTAGTATCACCCTCGCACTGAGGCCCTCCCTACCTCACCCCATCTGTTCCTTGTGTGCTTTTGTCCATCACGTCTACTGAAGAAAAATAAAATCAACACCCTCCTTACACATTTACTGCACATCTCAAGAAAAACACACAAGAAAGTCATTGAACAAATTCAAAGAGAATCAGATAACTAGAAGATTAAACATGAAGTAAGACTGCAAGATATGAAGGAGGAATTAAAAAATGACATAGAAATATTAGAAAAAAAGATTCAAAATCTTGGAAATATGAATTCAGTAGCTCAAATAAACTCAAGCCAGGAGTTCATGACTGTAATCTCAGATACTCAGGAAGCTGAGATCTGAAGATTGAGGTTTGAAGCCAGCCCAAGCAGGAAGAAGCTTGTGAGATTCTTATCTCAATTAACCACCAAAAAAGCAAGAAATGAAGCTGTGGCTCATGTGGTAGAATGCTAGACTTGAGCACAAAAACTCAAGGAAAGCATCCAGACCCTGAGGTCAAGCCCAGGGCTTGGTACATACAGGCCTAGTTTATAAAACGAAGCAAACTGGAAATAATGTATTAAATATTGATGATTAAAAAAAGAACTAAATCAAAGACATTGAAAAAAACCCTAAGAAAATATGAATGGAATTTCAGGCTCCCTTTTATGAACCATGAGCATTCAAAATTGATTTAATAAAGTAATAGCAGAAAAGTTCACCAACCTGGAGAGAGATTCATCCATGTGGAATAGGATTACAAAACACCAAAGAGTCAAAACAAGGATGAAACTCATCTAGACACATTATAGTTCAAGAATAAACATATAGAATAAAGAAATAATATAGTAAACTGCGTATTTAGAGAGTTTATATGCAATGGCAATCCCACAAAAATTATAGCTTATTTCCCAATGTAAAGGAAGGTTTGGAATGACATAATTCAAACTCTAGAGAAATTTGTCAACCTAGTGTATCTATGTATAACCTAGTGTATCTATGTGTTAGATATTAAGGAAGCTATCCTTTGTAATTGAGAAAAACATCCATAATAAAAGCCAAAAGGGAGGGTCTGGGAAGGTGGCTAAGTGGTAGAGTGCTTGCCTTGCATGCATGAGGCCCTGAGTTCGATTCCTCAGCACCACATAAGCAAAAAGAAAAAAGCCAGAAGTGGCGCTGTGGCTCAAGTGGTAGAGTGTTAGCCTTGAGCTAAAGAGCTGAGGGACAGCGCCTAGGCCCAGAGTTCAGGCCCCACGACCAGACCCAAAAAAATAATAATAAAATAAAAAAGCCAAAGGGCTTGGCACAGGTGGCTCACACCTGTAATCCTAGCTACTCAGGAGGCTGAGATCTGAGGATAGAGGTTCAAAGCCAGCCAGGGCAGGAAAGACATCACCAATTAACCACCAGAAACCAGAAGTAGTGCTGTGGCTCAAGTAGGAGAGTGCTCATCTTGAGATGAAGAGCTCAGGGACAGCGCCCAGACCCAGAGTTATATATATATATATATATATATATATATATATATATATATATATATATATATATATTTTAAAGGCAAGATCCAACTACTTGTTGCCTACCAAAAACATATCTCACTGATAAAAACCAACATAGACTTAAGGGGATAGGATGGGAAACAGAGCTTTTAAGCAAATGGAGTCCCAATCAAGTAGGAGTAATCATACTTATATCTTATCAATAGACTTTATCCAGCCAAAAACAAGAAAGTCAAACAATCTAAAAGTCCTGCGTTCAACCAAGCTTCAGTACAAGCAGAAAAAGTGTGTGTGAAGGTAATAAAGTTGATTATTTGTAACTGTGAAAATAGAACAATTAAACCAAGTGAAATTGTTTTCAGAAGGTGAAAGAAAGGAAGGGAGAATAACAGTAGGATTGACTGGAATACATTGTAAGTGTAGAAATTACTGGTGAAATCCCCTTCTGACTCATGCTTGTAATCCCAGCTAATCAGAAGAAGGCTGAAAGCCAGACTGGGCAGAAAAGTCCATTAGACTTTATATCCAATTAAACAGCAAAAAAAAAAAAAAAAAAAAAAGTTGGACTGCAGGGATAGTTCAAGTGGTAGAGCATCAACCATGAGCAAAAAATTAAAACAATAGCTGGAGGCAGTGAGTTGAGGATAAGCCTGGTACTCACCAAAAGAATTAATCTTTAAACTCAGAAATGACCAAGGTCATTTTCTATTAATGAAGAGAATGGTACATGGCAGAGATTGT